TCTCTAATACTCAGATTGAAGAGTATTGGCTCTTGCTGGACTAAACCCAGCTGTGATCTTAACCAACGAAGATTTAACGTTTTAATATCGTAACCATCAATATATACACTGCCACTAAGTGGATCGTAGAATCGTTGGATCAATGCTATCACTGTCGATTTTCCGCCTCCCGAAGGTCCACACAGTGCAGTAGTTTGATTAGTGACACACGATAAATTAAAACGTTTTAAAACTTTGTGTGTAGGTCTCGTCGGATATTGAAATTGAATATCTTTGAATTCAATTTCACCTTTAATATCCGACTGAAATAAAAGACAGGAAAGTTATCTCTCATGTGTTTGCTGAGTACAATCAACATACTAATACAAGTCCATTTTCATCATTTGGATCAATAGCTGATTGACGTTTATTTAATTTTATAATTTTTAGTGCAGCATTCTTTGCCTTAGCATGATCCGGAATCTGAGCTAGAGCTCGACCAACAGTTTCCGATGCAAACGTAAGTACAGTTAACACTCTAGAAAGAAAATGTTTAAGGGGGGGATCCCTCACTTGAATTTTGTCTCAGTTTGTTGAGAATGCTTGGAAACCTGTTATTCAATACTTCTTTCGGTTTCAAAACTTCAAGTATTTTAAAAAATATTTTTAAACTAAAACGTGGTTTTTGTCCAATGTCTGAAATTTTTTAAGATAAAACATTGAATTTGATCTCATTCGACAGACCGTAAAAATGGGCAAAAAATGATTCATAGAAGTCGAAGAGATCTAGTTGCAAAGCTATCGACGAAACAAATTTACGAACTCCAGTCGGGACACATCGAGCAACAGAAAAGAGTATGAGTTTTGGGAAGGGATCGAGCTTTGCGAAATTAGCAGAGAGTGAAAAAGCTTCCCTAAGTACTTAAGTGGGTCTTACCGAAATAGGTTAACGAACGAAATTTCATCATTCTGCACAAGCTTACTTCCGTAACCGAATGCCGTAGCTTGTAGAAAATACATTACTGATCTTCCCACTGCATATCCAAAAGAGTAAATC